ACAGGTATACCCAGAGTATCTGTAGGAGAAAATAAAGAAATACATTGTCAGGTTTTAAATCATTCCCTAAAAATGCTATATAAATGGAGGTGTCAGTAAATCTAAGAGTTTCTTAGCTCTTCAACAAAATAGCAAGCTCTCTGAGGGTAGGGAGTCTATCTCATCATTCTTGTGTCCCATTGTGTAGCATAATGCCAGGCACAGACAGAAGATACTTGATAAATATTTGATAAATTAATGCATGAAGGCAATGAATGAATTCCCAAGGCTGAGATTTCACGTGTTCATATTGTCTACTTTTAGGCTATCTTTCTGTCTCAATTTGGTGTTGCATTTACAACCAAATACTATCATATAAAATGGAATAAAAATGCTGATATTTAAGAAAACCATCCATATGGTCTTTAATAATTCCAAGAGCCAAGAAGAAAACAGAGTGGGGAAATTGGCAAGAGCACACTTATGTATTTATATATTGTTTGTGTTTTAGATTGAAAATGCTGATTTCTTGGTGTAGGCTATGCTGCTGTAATTTGGAGGTTAATGCATGTGCAATTTCTCCGAAAAGAGCTCTTCAGAGTCTCAAAATAAGGAAATAAGTAGCTTTCTTTGTCTTTGATCAGAAGATTCTTGAAAATGCAAAATACAATTATTTAAAGAGGAAAAAATAAATGTTTTTCATCAAGTGAGGGACATTTGGATTTTGTAAATCCCAAATCATTTTGTAAATCAAAGATAAACCCATTTATTTTAAAGGCAAGCTCTTGGAAAAAGTCTTAGGAGTTAATAATCCAGTTAATGTAGTAATTCTAAAGCCCATTGATCTGTATTTATTTTAATAAATCTTACTATATGCATAGTGCACAACTGAGAATTATTATAACCTGGACAGAGTCACTTGTCTTATGTAGGAACTACAAAACGGAAATTGCAATTCATATGTAAAAAAAAGATTCTATTAAGAAATGTCAACCGTCGTGAGACTGCCTCTGTTTCTGGAAAGGTGTTGGTATACTTAGAAACAGTCTATCTGAATCAATTTTTGAGCCAATGACAAAATTTAAATACTGTCTATTATCTGCCTAGATACACCTGGTTTAATGAATATTTTTCCAAAGAATAAATTATGTAGTGTCAGAATTATAGGAAAATTAATAACAGATTTTGAAAACATTATATGAACATATGTAACATTCATAATTATTGGGTGACAGACCCAATTGTTCATGGCATTTATACGCGCCTTACATAATCAGGGCTCCTACGGAATTAAGAATTTACTGTGCTTGAAATTTGGATGAACATTTGGCGGGGGGGGGAAGCATACCTTTCCCCTAAGTTTCTGTAATACACATTTGCAAACAGTGCTTTGTAGATAAACTTCCAAGAAATTGGCTTTCACGTTTGCCTGCTGTGCATGGAACTGGGACATGGTTGGGTTTGCAAGATGAAACAAATGCTTATCAGTTCTCAAGCCAAGGTTTTAGTTAATGCCTTTCCATACCTTCCCAACCCCTCTACCCCCCAACTGCAGTTAAAGTTCAACCATTTAGGTTTTGAGTGCAGCACAGCGAGACTGTGATTGATACCATCAGGCACTGAAACTGTGCTTTGCTGTTGGTTTAGGCAGCCAGGCAAGAGGAGAGCAGTGCCAACTCTATTATAAAATCGCTGCCTGTGAGGGTAATTCTGGGAGCTGCTAACTTAATGTAGCAGAGAAGGCAGATTCTCGTGTTTACTTTCTATAGAATCAAGATGCCATGAGTCAAAGAGAGCCCATTGGACCTTCTACTAAGAATCTTCCTCTATTAAAAGAACCTAGTCTAAGTGTGTCCAGGTCGAATCTAGTATACTGTAGCTCATTTGACCTTTAAAGACCTTGCTATTGAGTGGCTGCCTGTTTCAGTTCCTCCGAAGAGGATTTAGTCTATTTCTTGTAGTCCGTAGCCGGTGGATCTGTCCTACTCAAGTGGCCCTTGTAAATATATACGTTCCATCAACCCAGCTCTCTTAGTTGTGATTGGAGCTGACAAAGGCCACAGTGAATATTGCATCCTGCCTGTCTGAGTGTGGTCCACTGTGTGTGAGGTATGGATAACTCACTGACCTGACTGTGAGTCCTAATACCTTAGGAAATAAGCCTGCACTGTTCTCTTCTGGCTTCTGTAGTGCTACGCAGGTGTTATGAGGGAGGGGAAAAAAACAGTCTGCATGGATTACAGTCACTACAGGAAGATTTCTCTATGAAATACATGGTCAAAAATATGGACAACTGCATAGCTCCCCAGAGTGATCACTGATTTGCTGACATAACGTTGTGTTTTATACATTCTAGCCAAGATAACCCCATTATCAGTAATAATAATAACAATAAAAGGAGTCAAGTGTTCCCAGGAAAGTTGCTTTTATTTGTTTGTTTGACCCAGAGATAGATCAGCATTTGATGAAGTTATTGTAATCTTTAGAGCACCATCATATTGCCTCTTTCTCCCCATGTAGCCTCTGACTTCTGTGATTATAGAACCATAACTAGTGCATCCAAGCTAGTACCTAGCACGATCTCAGGAACATAGTAGGTATTTAAAAATATTGGTGTTGTGCATGAATGTTCTCTGTAGTTAGGGCATCTCCAGGAGCAGCAGAACAGCATTTTCTGTCTACTTTTACCCTGAAAGTTCAGGAGGAGAAACAGGCATGGCATGCTCTTAGTGGTCTTTACCACTCAGCTCCTCTGAATCACTTGACATTTGCATTTTTAGTCATTCTTTTTCTCTGTCATTCCGAAATAATTCACAAGCATTTATGGAGTCCATTGTCTCATCACGGTGTCTGCGAGGGTTTTGTTTCACACGTCTTCCAGGTTTGATGCTGTGTTCTGTGTTCTCACTGCCTCTGTACACAGCTCTCTCTGGAGAGCCTCGACCACCCTGTGGTGGTTATTACTGGATTCTCATCTGTCTTCCTCTTGGACTGCCCACTCACTCCGTGAGGCAAGGGTCTGGCTTTCTTCTCTGTCCCCAGTGTATAGTTGTGTTTGACCCACGGTGGGCTTGTGTTGATGTTTATAGGATGAATGAATAAGCAAATGAATAGAAAGAAAGAATGAATGAAGTGAATGTATCCATTGTTAGATCATCTCTAGGCACTTGTTTTCAGATGGTGGCTGGCAAAGAGGGTCTGTGGCACATTGCACAAGGTTGTCGTAACTAGCATGTCACTAAGACCTTTCATCTTAGCCTTATTATTGATGTGGTGCTTTACTGAGGTGATTCTCATTATCCAGTAAGAGGTTCAAAAATAAAATTCAAAATGATCTTTATAGAAGATATAACACTAAAAATGAGATATCTGCTTGTATAAGTTATCAAAAGCCTACAGGCAATAGAGCTTGAAATGAATTAGATCAGTCCTGGTAGTAAAATCAAAGATTTGAATGGCCTTTAAAATGTAGCTCATGCCCGTAGCTCTTTGCTTTTGCAGGGCTGTTCTTTTTGATATTGCTGTGACATACAAGGTCAAGGATTGAAAGTGAATGAAAATTTCAGTGGGACCAAACTTGGGTCACATAGTGCATCAATGAAATGGTTTTTAGAATACATAACTGTACCGTTTAAGAACAATGAGTGATTTAAAGTTTTATGTTAAACAAAAATAATAAATGTGGTATAAATGAAAAAAAAAGCTTGGTTTTTCCCAGAGACCACTTCTAAATATTGATGTACTTACCACATAAATATAGGTAAATATAGGTGCTGCACCCATTCCTTTATTCCATGGTAAATCAACTGTAAATGATACACCCACAATGTAAAATAAGGATAAATTTAGTCGTTTATGCTCTTTTTATTCCTTCCAACATTTTATGACAAATTATTATTTTTAGTTCTTCTGTTGGTCAATGCTATAATCTTTAGTAATTTATTGGAGCTTCCATTTTTTTTTTTTTGTATTCATGTTATTTCTGTTGTATCTCTTGATGCCCCTTGTTTTAAGATGAGAATGCCAGTGAGTTTATGACATTTCCTCCCTCCTATTTTATGTCTTACCTTCACTAGCTCTTCTTTTACTTTTTCAGTAACCTGGAAGTATATTAGTATTTACATTCTGCCCTTCAGGGAAGGATTTTTAAAATGATTTAAAGAAAAAGTTGAAAACCAAAGCCAAGAAGTGACTTGTCTGAGGTCTCTTAGCTTGTTAATGTTAGAGCTAGAACTAAAGCTTAGGACTTTTAGGGGGCACCTGGCTGGCTCAGTTGGAGGAGCATGCCATTCTTGATCTCGGGATCATCAGTTCAAGCCCACATTGGGTGTAGAGATTACTAAAAATATTAAATAAACTTAAAAAAAATAAAAGTAAAAAATAAAACTTAGGGCCTTTGACTACCAATCTCTAGGGGGTTTTCTATGGATAAACTCACTAATTGATTCATTACATATTTATTGAATGCCTGCTCTCTGCCGCACACTACATTTGGTACCACTAATACAAAAACATAAGAAATGGTCTCAAATCTCAAAGTTAAGAGTCAGGTAGGAAAAACAGATATATAAACAAATCACTGTTTCAATGCAGTAGTGTGCAAGGGAAGATGCTATGTAGTTTTGTTTTTGTTTTTGTTTTAACCCCAGGTCAGAGATATGAGAGAGTGATATAGTTAGAAGTGACAGCTTTAATATGTTGCAGAGATAGTGTTTTACACATCTGATTTATGCATGTTTGAAAAATAAGTAAGACTTTGCTGATACACTTGAAGGAAAGTATTGATTGTCTATTTCAAGATTTAATGTGAAAACAATTTTTATATATTTAAATTATAAATTATGTATTACATCAAGTTTTATGTGCTCAGCATGTTCTTATTTCAGAGTACCCAAATATTCTTAAGTTGTCCTTAGAAGATTGTGTAGTATTTTGATTCCAAGTCTAAGGCTTATGCATTTTTTAACAGACCCTTTTTATGATGACTTGTGAACTTTTTCCTTTCTTTCTCCCATCCTCAGATTTTCATCACTGTGAATTGCCTGAGTACAGATTTCTCCTCCCAGAAAGGGGTGAAAGGACTTCCTTTGATGATTCAGATTGATACGTACAGTTATAATAATCGTAGCAATAAACCCATTCATAGAGCTTACTGCCAGATCAAGGTCTTCTGCGACAAAGTGAGTAAAGATCATAAAGGTATCTTTGTTATTAGATATTACTTTTAATGACATTTCCTCCTTATCACCTTCTCTTGTCTAGTGGTGTCAAATTAATCACCTTATAAGCACACTGGGAGTTGTAACCTTTCATTTTCAATTCCTATTAGATATCTAGGGAGTCATCAGTCAACTGTATTTTTTTTTTTTTTTAGTCAGTCATTTTACCACTAATTTAATGGCTGAGTGACATTGCACTGTGCTACTCACGTAGGTAAGTTTTTACTGGGTATAAGCCTGTCCCAGAGCATATCAGTATAACCTTTATTATTTTATGGGTTAAATGGGGTCGCATCCAGAGCTTTTTGGAATAGAAATGGCACCTATAAAATAAGTTCATTAGTAAACATGCACTCAGGAGGAGATACAGTTTTTTAATCTCTCTGAATCCCACCATAAGATGATAGAGCAAGTAGAATAGCAAAGCTTAAAATCCTGTGGTTATGTGACATGAGATCCTTACAAATCCCAAATATGAGTGGGAGTAAACAGCCAGTAGTTTTGAGACCTGTATGATACCAGCATCATGAGGGAAAGCAATGGGGCTACTTGATAACCGAAGGACAGGAAACCTAAAAAATTGCCCCAAGGTACTCACTAGAGAATGAAGTGTGCCATCTGAGGACAGCATGTGAAGCCAGGGTGGGAGGGTACAGATCCTCTAGATTCCAGTTTGCTATTGCTGGGAGATGCAAAGGGATGGAATATTGAAGTGTTTGGGGCTCTGAAAACTCTGGAAAGTTATAAATTAAAGTTCCCTTCTAGGGCAAAACTGGGCTCTAAGAAAAAGCTGTTGGGAGTAGAATCCAAGTTGAATTGGACTCCCTCCACTCCTCCAAAAAAAGGGGCAAAGGAAAGAGAAGTTCCCAATAAAAAGGACGAGGAGAAAGGATACACAGTAGACAGATCTCAGGAAATACAGACTATTTTTTTAATCACTTTGTGAGCACATCAGAAAAGAGAGCATGAGAACCGTGAAATCGGCAGAACTATCTTGGTCCACTCATTTCACTTAAAAACAACCATCAGAAAAGAAAAACAGTTGAATCCCATACAGTGTCTCATGAAAAAAGAGATTAAGAACAGCCTGAATTCCTTGGGGACAATGGGTACCTGCCCATGAAACAGATGATACCTGTAACCTATTATTCCAAAATGAGCTAAATGAAATTAAGAAAATCATAGAAGTCATGAAGATCAATATAAATATAATTTTTCACATGGAAAAATTCGTGAGTTGTTTTGAAAAGAATTATGATAGAATTCAAGAAAGAATTCAGAAATAAAAGATTAAAATATTTCAGAAGTAAAGACTACATTAGATGTAAAACAAGAATGAATAAATACACCAGGGAATGCCTTAAGAGAAATGATAAATCAGGAAAACTGAAAGTATAAACTATATATATAAATAAGTATATGTAGATTTAAACAGCCTACTACTTACTTGGGAAAATTAACCCAGGATAACCAATACTTGGTTGTTAACTTATGAAACTTTAAAAATATTCTTTGGGCATCTAAGTAAAATAGAATAGAATAGAATAGAATAGAATAGAATAGAATAGAATAGAACAGAAGAGAATAAAAAAACCACTTGTAAAGAAACTTTTATCATCAGACTTTCAACAGCACTCTCAGGGACAATTAGGTAGCCTCCCCAGTATGGGGGCCAGTTAAGTCAATAGACACAGCTGTTGTGTAAATGAGAAAACAGTGGGTCAGTTGCCAGAATCACACAGCAAAAAAGTAGGGGAGCTGGATGCAAATATACTATAGGGTTTGATTCCAAACCCATACTCCTTGAATTGATAAACAACTGTACACATAAAAAGCCAAAATGACAACTGATGATTCAAAACCTCAACAAAGAGCCAAGGTAGCCTTTAAAAACAAAAGAAAACATACAAAAATCAGTTAATCTCTTTAAATCAGCATATTAAACATTAAAAAAGCATTTTCAGATGATGTACAACATGGAAATTCTAAAGTACAAATGGGACAGCATTTAAATAATTTGAATTGCCTCACTGTATTCCAAATACTTTAAGGGAGATTGTAGAATCCCCCTCCAGGAATCTCTTTCTTGGAAGTGGGGAGTGGGATTAGGGGCAAGGAGAAACAGAGGGAAGGATGAGATAGAGACTGGGCAGTCCATTTACCTTTACATTGCAGCTGGAATTGAATGTGGGAAAGAGAGGCCTTAAGGGATGCTCATATAATTATTTTTTTCAACAGTGTTGATATGACAAATACTAAAACTCAAAACAGAAGGAAAATGCAGGATGAATAGAGAGAGTGTTCCATTGTTGTTCACCTATGCCCTAGGACTCTAAGAAGCTAGTGCTATACGGTGTTTCCAGGGGTTGGTTTTTAGTTTACTTATCCTGATGCTAAGGATAAGGAAGAAATCTCAAGCAGGGTGTATTAACCTTAACTGCTAGTCGGTTTTCTAATAAGCTAGATACAAAATGTTGTGCTGTAATTTGCCATATTTGCAGCTCTTATTTCAAAACCCAGGCAAAACTTACTCCTGGGAGATTAAAAAGAGAAAAAGTTTAATTTTTCCACTTTTCAAATGGATGTATAAATGCAAATGATTATTTTGAATTCTCCTCTAAAGCAAAAGATCTAAGAGCTATTCCATTTTAAAATCATTAAGTTTCCCAATCACAATCAAGAATCTTAAACAGATGGAGTTCTGCACTATTTGTAGTTCTCCAGCTTTATTTATAATTAACACACCTGTGAAAATCAAATAAAGACTTACTCTGATTTTTTTTGATATTATGATACTACTATGGAAATACATGTTTTTGCATTAAAAAAAATTTGGGATCTGTCTATATATCTACCTGTGTTAATACTTATGTCTGTGTCTTTATATCTATATTTAATTACTTCCATTATCTTTCCTGAAAAACAAGAATTATAGTAGTATAAATAGTAAGTACATATTGAGCAAAACTTGAGAAATAAAGCCATGTTCTTTTTTTAATAATAGTTTTTTTCTCTTTATTAATTCTTGTTTGGAAAGTGATGGCTATTTGGAGGTGATGACTATTGAAGATTATGAAAAGCTAAAGATACCCCTGCAAACCATCTCGGTACCTTGGCCAACTTTCAACTGGTTATGGACACACTCTTAAAATAAATTTAAGAGAAATTATTGAAGTGTCAAATAAAGATAGCCATCACCTCTCAAGAGGTGGCAAGAGTGATCACAATATAATCAGGAAATCTTCAGGCATACTTTTTAAATCTAACACTCCAAAGTGAACATTTAGGTAGGGGAAATTATTTTCAAATGATAAATTTGGTCTTTGTAGCAAATTATACTGTTCTGGAAGAGCTAGACTTTTTTGCACTTTGATAAGAGTGGAAAGAAGATCTTTTAGAAGCCTTAGGTCACAAATAATCAAAGGAAGTAAAGGAATTCATGGAAGGTCATGTTTAAGGAAGCTTTCTCCATCTTAATTAAATATATCTAAGCTTCCCTGGGGCATTATGAAGTCAAAGCTTTATTTTAGAAATAGGAACTGTGGTTCTCCTAGAAATGTTTGGATACTATCCAGACTTGTTTTGTCATGCTGATATCTGAGCATTCTGGGCAGGAAATTTCTTATATAGACATGGCACCAAGACTAGGCTCTGTGGGGAGCCACTCTAGCTTTTATGTTAATCTATTTGGTTTGGCATATCAGAGAATGCCTGTAAAATAATAAGCAGACTTTATTGCCCCAAAATTGACACTGAACATATATAAGTCTTGAAACAAATTAATTGCAGGCTTTTTCCTCAAAGTAATAATACAAAATAAGGCACCAATTTAGAAATAAATTAATTAATAGTTTAACCTGAAATAAAAACTGCTTGACAGTTTTAGAAATAAAACTGCTTGACAAACCTTAGCGTATATCTTCAGTGAGTTGTAATTTATATAGATAGAAAAAGTTTTACGTTTTTATTTATATTAAACAATATGTTGTACAGAACTCCAGGTACATAGAAAGATGTTTTATGGACCCAACAAAAAATGAATAATAGGAGACTTTTGCTTATATCTCACATCAATTTCAACAAGGCAATGTCTGTACATTTAACACTTTATTTTCTCAAAATATTATATGTTATCTAGATACAAAACCTCTGCAAAACCTTAATATATCATGAAGAAACTTCCAAAGGGTATATTTCTATATTTTATCTCCCTCTTGCTCTGAATTTCCATGGTTTATATATATATCCATGACAGTTCAAAACTTATAAGTGAAGCACTATAAAATAATTACTCCCTTTGGGTAGTAAGAAGTTTTTTGACATAAAAACATATTTAAAATATCTGGTTAAACTATTAAATCTGTTCAGATCTTATCTATGTAAAGCTCTTAGAACTCACCTGGCACAGAGTAAGTGCTATGTAAATATTAGCTATAATTACTCATTTTTCAAGAATTAGCTCTAATGCTATCTCCTTTTGATGCCTTCATTGCCCACAAATCTCCATATCTCTTGTGTTGTACATTTACTTTGGCCAGAATTGGGAGTCTGCTTTTTTTTTTTTTAAAGCCAATTTAATAAACAAAACATGTATTTCAGTGTTTTGATTCAAAGCTTTGTAAGTCTTTTCCTGTAAAGTGCCTATTTCATGACTCTTGTCCATTTTTTAAATTGGTGCATTAGTTGTCTTTTAAATTTGAATCATTTATATTAAGGATTTAGTACCTTATGATATTTTGTTGCAAATATTTTCACGATTTTGTCCTTTGCCTATTAATGGATTTTTTTTTGCATAACAGGATTAAATTTTTATATTTTTAAAATCTCTCTTTTTTGTGTGATGAGTTAGGGGCAATTTTTAATTAGAGGTTGCCAGCCAGTGTGTGCTTCACCACTCCTTACGTATACTGTCACAAAGGGCAGGAACTGTAAATGTGTATCTGAAATCTAGGGCAGGAGTCTAGTCTGAGGTGTCTGTCTGGATGTCACCTGTCTAGAACATCATGGAAATAAGGGTGCAGGTGAATTCTTTGCAGCAAGAATGGAGAGAGAGAAAGGAAAGGAAAACCATTGGAACATATGTATTTGGGGGTTGGGAAGAGGAAAATGAGTTGGCAAAGCGGACACAGAAAAGTGACAATAATAATGATAATAATAATCAGGGAATCCTTGAAGGCCAAGAAAGAAAGAGATACAAGGTGATGGTCAATTGGTTAAGTAGAGTGTGATTTGGCAAGAGAAGCCAATGAAAAAGTCAGATTACCAGGAACAGAGGAGCAAAAAGGAAGTGAATAGACCAAACTTTTTTCTATTTGGTTGAACAAGTACCATCTCCAAGCACTTATGAACACATTAAAACGAAAACCAAAATCATACTTGTATGTGCAAAGTGATCATACATCTTTTGTAGTTTCCTTAGGCCCCCCCTCATTTCCACTACTGTAATGATTTTTGAAAGTTCCATGACATCGAGCAAAGGAAAAGTTTTATAGGGAATTCAAATTCAACTTTAATGCTCTCTCGGTGCCTAGGAATGATGTTAACAGGCCAGTGCTTTATCTTAATGACATTTTATTATAATCACTAAAGTTACTTAACCGGCCTCACTGGGATAGGAACCTGGGCCTGGTCTTTCTGTGTGGATTCAAAATTGAAGTTGTATAAATAGGCAGGATTTCAAAAAAAGGGGGAAATCTGGAAGAAGTGGGATCACTCGGAGGTTGAAATGTAGTACAGACTAAGGATCTGTCTCAGCCTTCAGAACCGAGGCCTGACCTCCCTAGAGGCACAGAAATGGGGCTGCCTGCTCTCTCTTTACCCCTGGTTTGTTTCTTATCCTAGAGACTCGTATGTGGACACTGTTTTTGCATGCTCTGGTAACATAGCTGGCATTGTTTGTTTTTCCCTGGTAGGGAGCAGAAAGGAAAATCCGAGACGAAGAGAGGAAGCAGAACAGGAAGAAGGGGAAAGGCCAGGCCTCCCAAACCCCCTGCAACAACTGTGAGTGTTGCTAAGGAGGGGTGGGCTCTGGCCAGGCCACGCCCACTAGGGGAACAGGTGGAAAGAAGTGGATGGTGGGTGAAACTATGGATATGTGAGGGGGTGGCTTGCTTTTCCCTAGCCTCGAAGACTGGGTGAATTGTCTCGGTGAAAAGCAAGTGGAATCACATGATCACAGATTCCTTGTGCTGGGAGGGACTGTAATATCATGGAGACCAACATCTTCCTCCTCCAGACAAGGAATCTAGGGTGCAGAGAGGGACGGGAGTGCACGAGGGGCTTCACCTCAAGAGTGCTCACCCGAAGTTCACGCTCTTTCTGTTGGTTTGGCAGTGGGAGAGGGGGCGATTGTAAAGTGTGTTCACATCTGTGGCTTTTGGAAAGCTTCAGAGGAGAAAACAGGGAACTCAGACTAGGGCTCACAGCTGAGAGTTCTTAGTCATGCATAACCCTCTCACATCCAGCCTCTGATGGGAAGTTGGCGGCGATACCTTTACAGAAGAAGAGTGACATCACCTACTTCAAAACGATGCCTGACCTGCACTCACAGCCGGTCCTCTTCATACCTGATGTTCACTTTGCAAACCTGCAGAGGACGGGACAGGTAGGACCTACCTTCTAACATCCACCTGCCATCCCTCCCCGGGGCCGGTGGAGCTTTAAGACAGAATCACATCAGGCAGTGTTGACCTTGAAAATAACCTCTGCACTCCATGCATTCCTCGGAAAGCCAGTCATTCCATAACAAAACGGATTTTTATAGAAAGGAGTGTCTCAGGAGAGGAAACTGACTTAGTAAGGGGAAGAAGAGAGTGAGCTGGTAGTAGTGAAGTGTTGACAAAGCAATGAAAGAGGAAGAAAGTAAGGAGGCTGATGACCCAGAGAATTTTTTTTTTTTTAAAGATTTTATTTATTTATTCATGAGAGACAGAGAGAAACAGAGGAAGAAGCAGACCCCCCGCTGAGCAGGGAGCCCGATGCGGAACTCGATCCCAGGACCCTGGGATCATGACCTGAGCCGAAGGCAGATGCTTAACCATCTGAGCCACCCAGGCGCCCCAACCCAGAGAATTTTTGTGTTGCTGGTTTGGTCATGTGGGATCAACCTGGTGCAATAGAGCTCCATCTAATGGTGGGAAATTGAACTGCACCTATAACTTCAGAAAGTTGCCCAAGAGGAAAACTTTTTGATTACATAAAACCATATCAACAGTTTTTCCCCCTAGTAAGTTAACAGTTCCCATTGAATATGTAAATTATTCCACACCAAAAGAAAAATGAGATTGTAGACAAGCCTTTTTAAAAGTAATTCCTGTGTTCTAGTTACATCTACAAGCGAAATTAAAGAGCTAAAATTAAAATAACATAAATACCCAAATAATTAACTCATTATGGTAGCTCAAGTTGATGAAATATTAGGTGGTCACTAAAATTATAATTATGAAAATTATGTAGCAACATAGGAACTAGTTATGATAATGTTCAGTGCAAGAAAAAATTAGAATACCCATTTGTGTCTGTACTGTGATTCTAGATATATACCTGAACTTGAAGGTAACAAAAATTGTAACACTTGATGTGTAGGATTAAATGATGGATGATTTTTTCTTTCTTTAATATTTTTAGTATTATTTATTTTTGTGATAAATTAAAATAGAGTAGGAAAAAAAATGTACTTCCCTAGCATTAGCCAGATTTGTCTTTCACTAAATCAGTTGGGTTTTAGTGAAACTTGTATGGGTTAGTTTTCTTTTAAACTCAAAATCCTCTGAGGAAAAGTTTGTTTTGAGAAACAGAGGCATAGTTTTTCTCCCATTCTAAGTGTTCAGACATTCAGTGGAATTGACCTTAGTCAGGAGGGGAAATCGTTATTGGCTCTACTTGCTCCTTCTGAAGAATATACTGTCCCTCCCCGTGTTGTTTCATTATAGGTCTGAGACAAACAGTTATACAGGCAGGGTTTCTTTGTTGTTGCTCATGACAGAACATGGTAACAAAATAGTATAGTTTTTTCTTAGAGTGCCTTCCACTAAAAACTAATTTAACAATCCCATCTTGTTTTACTTGTTCGATAGGAAAAAGGTCACAAAGGGGAAAGAAGATTTATCAAACTATGAGTGCCAGCACCTCATTTTATTTATTTTTTTAATTCCCAAGAGTATGGTGATTTGTTTATTTACAGTCTTAGCCCCATAGGATTTTATGAAGCTGGGTATCCATACTTTCCAGAAGAAGGGATAATTGAGTTAAATTGTTCTGTTTACCGTCATGATTCTGGCTTCAGCTCTGTGTCAAAGCTGACAGCCTGACCTGTTCTCTTGGCAACATTTCCCTGAAATATACAAAGCTGTAAATGAATCTTCAGAGGAAAAGTGACCAAGTCTGTGAGTCTTCTGGCCTCACTTGGCCTCTCCATGTTGGAACTGGGTTCCTAGCCTGTGGCCGAATCACAAGGGAAATATAGCCTGTACAGTCTTTAGCAGTTGCAAAGCAGCTCAGTCAGCGCCCCTAGGTCATTGGCGAAGTTAAGTTCTGCAATCTGGGGCCACCCTTGCAGAGCCCTCAGGCTTCCCCTGTGGCCTTGGAGTCAAAGTTAGGGGGGTCAGTGAGGGAGGGAGCCTGCCTAAGCTCTGGGCAACAAAGGAACACAGTCAGCTGTGCTCTGGAACAGTGTGTGAATATTCTATGGTTGATCAACTTACTTGGCCCAAGCGCAGGAGCGCCTACAGTGTGGCTAGCTGGGACTTAGAGTCTGCCTTTTTTTGGAAGAGCTAGAAAGCAGGGAGATGGGTCCAGAGGCAGGAGGGAAGCCGGCAGTGCCATGATATTAGAAGTGGGTGTGGGGAGGTGGCTGATTTTGACATGCGAAACAGGATCCAGCCGTGGCGGGTCAAAATGTGGGCTAGTTGTACCATAAATGGGGCCCCGGGGAGGGGGAAAGGCAGGTGATGGTGCGCAGCTCAGTGACCACAGCAGACACAAGCCTTGTCAAAATCAGCTACATCAAAGCTCTGTGCAGCTGGAGAGGGAGCAGCCTTCCGGCTCTCAGGGTCAGTGAGAGACCCCCAGTCACGTTGAGGGCTCAGGAGCTATGGCACAGTGATTCCTAGTCACCCAAGAACATGGGCTGGGGAGTGGGTATTTTCACTGACAGCCCACATGTTCCCTCCGCCTCTGTTACTGATTCACATGTGGATTCATCAGACAATTATCAAAAACTAATATGAGGGAATGAACCCAATGTGCAGGCACTATGGAGATCTTAGTCTCCTTCTCTTCACATCAAATCCCAGATAGTCACTGGGGCTTTTCTCTGGAATGCCTTTAAAAACAAGTGATAGGGGATCTTGGGAGAAATTGTGAGATACAGAGGCATCATCTTTCTGATCAGACTGCCTCAAGGCACCTGAACCCAAGGAGGACTTTGCTCTTCCCTCATACCCTCGAAGCTGTCTTCCCCATTGTGGTTTGTAAACTGCCTTCCCCCAAAGAATTCAGGTTCCCAAGTTCCATTCCAAGTCTTTTAAATCGGAATCTCTGAAGAGGGTTCCATATTTTTTATGCACTCTATAAAGTTTGAGAAATACTCTCTAAACATTAAATCCATGCAATAAGACCTACAGCCAACAAGGAAGAAACAGTGGGTCATTGTGAGAGAAGTGACCAGTGCAAGGACAGGGCTAGGGACAGTGTAGTAGAGGCCATTTAGGAGGGCAGGAAAACACTTAAGAGAAGGCTGCTTCATTTTGGGGTCACCAGTCAACTTTGCAGAGAGCCCTCCGTGACCCTGTCATATAGTCAGACAGGGCAGATGCATTATGCCACATTTAAAGAAGCTAGCAAAAAACAGGCCAACATCAGGAACTTTTTCCCAAAAATCCAGTTCTGTGGCCACTGCTATGGCCCAGGCTCCCTCACTTATGTGGGTCACTCCATATGCACCTAAATAGTCCCACTTCTAGAATATCGCCGTGGTGGATGCTCCAGTGCCACATTGAAACCTGGGATATGGTGGAAGAAAACATCTTGCCTGTGCTGTTTTCTGTTAAAAAGAAACGAAGTATACAACAGTAGACATAAGAAGTTTTAAGAGGATAAGTTCCCTGTGGAAATTTTGCTTATGACTAGAATGGCTGACGCCCAAAGAGTCCCCGGGAACCAGCTCTGTTATACCGTGAAGTCTGGGTGTGGCAGCATCCCAGGCACTGCCAGGAGCCTTTGAGAAGGTTTGTAAGGAGGGTGTCAGTCTAGGCAGAGCTTTTCTTCTAGGCAACTGGGGCAGGGACAGTGACGAAGTACACTAGCACCAGAAGTGACTGTTGAAGTTAAAATGTAAATGTCTGATGCTAACTTGGGTCTTGTCCTTCACCCAAATAAAAATGGTCCCGAAGCACATGGATAAAGCTCAAGAAAGGCCTGCAATTAATTTTTAGAAATAATTGGGTCAAGAGGACCTACATGCATATAAGATCCTCTATGGATTTCTGTAGTTTCATAAAATAATAGGGATGCTTCATAATTTCATTAAATCTGATTCTGCTTGCCACCATGCTGACCACCTAAAGAAATCTGTTCTCAGAGGTCTTCTGGCCTGGAGCACCTCCTAGAGCTGCATGACCTTTTCCCAGCCTGAAGACAGTCGACTCTAAATGTTTGTGGTTGTGGGATGCCGGAATAACCCAGGCCCTTTCGGGGAACAGACAGGGGCCTGGGGTCGCTGCTGCACTGCCTTGGGACTCTCTTGCTCCCCTCCCTTCGCCAGAGCACATTATCTGTGGTCAGCTCACCTGTGGACCCGATGGGATTGGATACTCACACGCCTTGCTCCAGAGCCTTTCTAAACAATGATTTGTAGGTCCTGCTAAAATATTTCTTTAATGTCAAGGCAAGAGCTGGTTTAGTAGGTAATCTGATCAGAATGACTTGAGCTGGAAATAATCAGATTTCCAATTTTACTTCCTTAAAATCCAAGAATTAACCCTAGGAAGAATATGATGTAAGATTTGTATTTCCTTGGACACACACACACAGCATCATTAAACAGATCTGCCTCTTGTCTTCTTTAAGGCAGTGTAAGAGCCTAGGAAAGTCAGTGCATCACGTAATCTATTTCCATTTCTTGGTCTAACCTGCAGTAAGCCTGTTGTTTTGTCCCACAGGTGTATTACAACACGGATGATGAACGAGAAGGGTAAGACACTCGGTTCTTTCTCTTTACATCCCAAGTCAGTTCATGTCAGTAGAAATGGCTGTTGGAGCACAGGATAACCATGGACTTAGAGCCGAGAAATGAGAAAGGCTGGACTCTGGGGCTGTCTGAGAGGAAGTCTGGGGAAATGCTGTTCTCCTTCCTCCCCTTCGTTATCTCTCTCCTTTCTGTGATCTGCCTTTGAATAACTAGCTATTTTTCTAAGTGACACATCGCTTCAAGAGTCTACCTTTTCACCAATAATCCAGCGACTGAAATCTCTGGCCCCAGCACAGGGTCAAGGTGAGCTTGAGGTGGGAGCCAGGGAGACAGCCTGCCCTGCTTAGTTGGTAGTGCTCGGGTCACCCATGTGGCCCTCTCGAAGCCCTCACTCTGGGACATGGGCCCAAGGCTAGTGGTGAGGCTGGTGAGAACGAAGCTAGGGAGGCTGAGAACCTAGTCACTGTCCTTGGGATTGTAGGTAAGAGAGGGTTGGCTCCCAAGTGTCTTGCACATCAAGTTTCTGCATGGTGCTTTCTGTGCATTTACTCATTTTATGCACTCCTGGAATTTTAGAGACGAAAAGGAATCTTCAAGGTCATTTAGCTGACTCTCTCTTTTAAGCAGTTTAACAGTACACCACATGTTTGATAGGTAGTCAGGCAGCTTCTACTTGAACACTCTCACTGTATGTAAGCTAACTCATGACACCATTGGACAGTTGCAGCTCTCAGAAAGTTAGCTTATTGAATTGATGTCTACCTTCTTTTGACTTTCACCCACTGGCTCTAGTTCTGCTCTTTAGATAAGCCCCATCCATTCCTCCTCATTCAAACACAGTTTTACCTTTCAGTATCTCCACTCCAGGGGATACCACCAAATTTTTAATAGTTTGTTTCCCTAGAATTGGCTCTCAGAAATAAATATCTGTTCTCAACCATATGAGCTGGAGATTATATTGGGATAATTTCTTCTTGTGACCTGGACCCTTTTTTCTCTTAAAGCAATGTAGAACTACATTCATTTTTCTTTTCTTTTCTTTTTTTTTTTTTAAGATTTTATTTATTTTTGAGAGAGAGCTTGTGCATGAGAGAGAGAGAGAGCACACACAAGCAGGGGAGAGGGGTAGAGGGAGAGGGAGAAGCAGACTCCCTGCTGAGCAGGGAGCCCGATGTGGGGCTTGATCCCAGGACCCTGAGATCATGACCTGAGCCGAAGGCGGACGCTTAACCAACTGAGCCACCCAGGCACCCCTCATTTTTCAATATCTATGTTACGTTACATATATACCACTAAAATCTTGGTTTGCATTATATCTGTATAACTAAAATCTCTAGATAGTTTTTTTCAGACTATAGTCAAACTGGGGCTTCCCTGTGCTTATGCAATTAATATATTTATTTATAAAACATTTCAAGGTGAAGTAAGTGGAGCAGATATTGCTGAGTTCATTTCCTAGAGCAGAGTTTGGTAAACTACAGCCAGAGGGCCAAGTCAACCCATCACCTGTCTTTGAACAGTCCATAAACGTTTTTGTTTTTTTTTTTCTTTTTAAAGTAGGCTCCATGCCTAGCGTGGAGCCCAATGCAGGGCTTGAATTCATGACCCTGAGATCAAGACCTGAGCTGAGATCAAGAGTTGGACGCTTAACCAGTTGAGCCACCCAGGCGCCCCTGTCTCTAAACATTTTTAAATGGTCAAAAAAAAAAGAAAAATCCAAAAGAAGAATAATATTGTGTGACAAGTGAAAATTAAATGAGATTCAAGTGTCCATAAAGTTTAATTGGAACACAGACATGTTAATTCCCTTATGTCTTGTCTGTGGCTGCCTTCCTGCCCCAGGAGCAGAGCTGAGTAGTTAAAACAGAGACCCGTGTAGGCTGGAAAGCCTAAATATTTACTAATCTGACCCTTTACATAAGAAAAAGTGTGCCACCCTCTGGTCTAAGGGTAGAGAATTAGGTGCAGAACCTTGTCCAGGATCTGACCTCTAAATTCAGAGTTCTGAGTTTTCTAAATACCTAATTAGATTGTTCTTTTTATGTTGGCACATAGGTAATAGATTCCCAGTGGCTGGAAGGAGCAGAAAGATTAGCACTATCGATTCTAATCTGTTACTCACATATTTTGCCAGGGACCGTGTGGCGTCACGGGAAGAACAGGGACTCTGAGCTTAGGAAGCCCATGTTCTGCCCCAAGGCCATTGCTTACCAGTGGGAGGCCTTGGGCTGGCTCCTTGACCTCTGGCCTTCGGTTTCCTCAGCTGTAAAATGAGGATTTTGGATAAGGTGATCTTCGAGGTCAAATGTAGCACTAACATTCTACTCTTCCCTTCTCTGGGAGAAGTTAGCCTCATAAGGGAGAAGTGCCTGAGACCCGAGTGCTGCTTCATGTGCAGACCTCCCTTGGCAACCAACCTCAGCCTACACTGTCCTTCCTAGCAAGCTGGCAACGTTTAGGTGGCCAGGTGACCTATTTCTAACTCGTGTGGCTTGGCCTCTCTGTAAGAATTACCCTCTGTTCTTGCATAATCGTGAGGCCCGAGGCCTGAGTCTCTGTCTCTCCTACATCTAATTCAACTTCAGTTGAGCACGTGGATGGCCTTGGAGCCTCGGTGTTAATACACAGTTGGTACTTGGCTATTGTTATGTGTGAAAGTAATAATTAGCATTCACTGGATATCTTGGCTAGGCACGGGACTAGGTAGGCTTTCTGTGTTGTGTTGAATTCTCCCAAAATCCCCATGGGGAAGATGCTGTAATTGCATCCACTTTATAAAGAGCAGTGGAACGTTGGACGGGACAGTGTTCTAAGTCACACGGCTGGTGGTGATAGCGACAGGATCGGAGCCCGGCCTAGCGGCACTCCCCACATCCCACTTTAGCCATCGTGCCCTGGCACCTCACTCTCTTCACTCTTGATCTGTGGCTGCCAGTGCGGCAGAGACGGGCCCCCGTCGTGATAGCTTTCCGGCCTTGACAAAGGCACATCCTTGGCTCAGCCTCTGAGTGCGGGACCCAGATTGTGACAAGCCCGGAGGAGTGTACCTGGCTGAGGGGGTCAGGGCAGAGTCCTGAGGGGTGTGCCGCCTTCCTTGGCGTTCACATGGCCTCCATCAGGACTGTCTCTGGCCAGTTCGTCACTCCCTGCCAGGCAGAATCAGTTAGTAGGAAAGCATCTGGTTAAGCGCCGGAGAGCAGCATTCACTGAACCAGCAGCCGGAGGAGGCGCAGCAGAGGCACTCCACTGCCTCCGCCCGCAACTCCGAGGCCAACGTGGTGGTCGGACACAGACTTGTTCACAAGTACAGCCTGCTGGCCTCAAGTGCCGGCCAACCCGAGTGTGATTCCGGAGGGAAAGTAGAGGAAATGCAGATGAGGTGGGATGGGGAGCCATCATCAGCCAAGTGCCTAAACGGAACAAAAAGGGGAACACCTGTTTGCTCCTGCCTCTTTGATGATAAAGTGAGTATTGGGGGTGACTTCGGGTGCTGAGTTTGGGCATCGACAGACCCGCGCAGGTTTGTTTCATAGGCAGGGGATCCAAGTTAGATACAGAGGCTTTGGACGCCCCTTCTCAGCAGCAGGCCTCTTGCTGCAATTTGGAATCACCTGGGGAATTGAAAAATAACTCACATACAGGTAGCACCCCCATGGCTTTTGATTTAATTGGCATGGGAGGCAGTGTAGGTACGGAGACCTTTTTCAAGTCCCCAGGTGATTCTAAAGCTCAGCAGTGTTGGAGAACTACTGCTTTCGAGCCAGGCGCCATGATTTGAATCAGGCCTTTACAAGCTCTGTAACTTTATAGCAACTTTTTGGAGTCTCATTTAAAAATAGCAAATAATAATACCTACCTGATAGAGTTATAAGCATTAGTATGCCAAATGTCCTGGCATGTGGAAGGTGCTTTCAAAAAAAAAAATCATAGCTGTAATTATTGTCGTTAAGGTTCCTTTACTGTCCTTCAGTAAATGATACTTAATTGAGAAATGGAAGAGAGGGAGAGGAAGAAGGATGGAAAGAACAAGCCAGACAGGAAGAATTTTCTGTGGAATATGGGCCCTTAACAAGGGATTCATGAATGGCTTTTTTTTTTTTTTTTAAAGATTTTATTTATTTATTCATGAGAGACAGAGAGAGAGGCAGAGGCAGAGGGAGAAGCAGGCTCCCCGCAGAGCAGGGAGCCCGATGCGGGACTCGATCCCAGGACCCTGGGATCATGACCTGAGCCGAAGGCAGACGCTTAACCGACTGAGCCACCCAGGCATCCCTCATGAATGGCTTTTATGGGGAAGAAGGAAGGGCTTTAAACTCCTTGAAATCATATGTAAGTTGCTATGCAGATGTCACATATGGTGGGAAATGCTATTCTGTTCCATTACTTCAGGGGATCTGGTCTCCATCCCCATCTGACCTCTAGTTCCTAGAAAACCCTTCTTGCCTTAATCTCTTGTCCACGGTCACCCCATGGTGGTGCCCCCATTCCAGCCTGCAGTGAGGTCCCTTCAAGTTCAGCAGCTCTGTAGCTTTCACACTGCATTTGGGGCACAGGGATCCTTGGCAAGTTCGGCAGTCCTGTGTGTGGAGGACAGTGGTATCCCTCCAAGAATCTGCCATCACCATGGTGCTGCCGGGGATCCTCAGACCACAATCCTCTCCAAAAATTTCTCTTATCCCCTTGCTTCTTCTCAAAGGCACACCGCCTTGGGGCCGCATTGTATTATTTCCTCAAAAGCTGAAACTTTAGGAAAACAAAAGCCAGGATAAGGTAAAGGTTGGGCAGGGCAACCCTGTGGATTGGTCCCATACCAGCTCAGAGAGACAGCTCCCCAGAGTGACTTCACTCGTCATGCTGAGTGACGCCAGCAGAGGGCCCTCCCATTCCTCTTGCAGGAGGGAGAGTCCCATAGGTGTTGCCAGACCGAACCATGAGCTTGGTTACAGTGTTGCTGAGGAAAAGAGCCAGTTCTGGTGCTCATCTACCATGGAAGCCAACACTTT